GCAGTTAAGTGTTTCTGATGCTGTAGAGCTACAGAGCCAATTAAGGATGCCCACGGCTGAATTCCGTAGACTAAGACATATTCTGTGTAATCTTGGTGCAAGGATTCTCCCATCTGAGCCCAAGATAAGACAAGAACAAGAAATGCGGACAATGCATGTCAATAAAGAACATGTTACTGTAAACTCCATGTTACGTTATCCATCTGCAAATGAAGCACCTTGTTTAGTATCTGTACTGATGGTCAAGAATTTGACAACTTATATTGAAGAGGTTTTTAATAATCTTTATGTACGCAACCACCTTAATTCGGATGCCTCACACACCTGCTAACTGTAACATCTTAAGGAGGACAATACAATCTCTGGAAAGTGCTTACAATGAGAACTTGTGTGAAAATAGACAAGGTGGAAACCTAAGAACTTTAGGTAAGTTTCATAATTCAATTATTGCTCCTGTGATTTTCCCCATAATAACTTTAGATAATGTAGTGCCACCTGTTTTGCATATTATGTTAGGAGTTGTGTTAAAACTGTATAAGTTATTGTTGAGGGAGTGTAAGACTTTAGATTGTCAAGCTGTTTCGTCTTTGTCGCATAATGAGAATGTGAGAACGAATGAATTGTGGGCTGCTAAAAGCGTTGAATGTTGTAAAACAGCAGAAGCTTTATGTTTATTAGGAAATCAATTTGTAGACATTGCAAATCTACAGGCGCGTTAGTTAGCTTTAAATAAAAATATTTCTAAAATTATCTCTAAACTCCTCCAATAAAAAAATAACCTGTAAACAGCAAGAAATGTGTGATAGTATAGGTGTTTAATTACAAAATCTCTTTATAAGGCCCTTGAAGATATGAAGGTTGAGCGACAAGCTTACCATGGTAATGTATTTGTAGGTAATCATTGCAAAATAGTATTAAGAAACAACTATAAACTTTGTAGTGTTATTGATGATGAAGCAATTAAAAATAGATTTGTACGTGTGTTTAGTGTTTTTAACAAGTTGCAACCTATTCTTTTTTGGCGAAAATTTCTTTCCGATGCTGAAATAACTGAGCTTCAACAATATATAAATTTATTTGCTATTGAGTTTCATGCTTGCTTTCCAAATGAAAGTATCACACGAAAAATGCATGAACTTATTTTTAATGTGCAACTTCATCAAATTTAGTTAAAATATTTAAAAAATTAAAAACAACAACAAATAAAAAACTATTTACAAGTAAGATAAATTATATGAGATCTTTAATTTGTATATAAGATAATTTTATTCTGTTCTAATATCTGTGTAATGTTAGTTTAAAATATTATTTTTTAATATATTGATTTTATATATTAAGTAGGTGCCGATTCTGTTCCTATCTTCAGAAGTTATTTATTCCTATGCAATACCTTCGCTCAGGTTAAAGAATGGAATACTAGTCTTGCATTAAATGTATGTAAAAATCTAGCTTTTATATATTAACTTGTGATCAGAGCAACTGGTATGTTGGTTGGGTATCATCTTGTATGTTTGTGTATTTAATTTAAAAAATGTATTGCCCTTCATTATATGTAACATTTTTTTATAGATATATTACATATCCATTCGATGTTTATCACCAGAAGTTAGTTCTACCTTTGCAGTACTTCTGCTCTACATACCTCCTCGCTGGTTAAAGAATGGAATATAAATCTCATATCAAGTTGGTGTAAAAATTTAGTTCAATAAATTAAGAATTTGTAAACGTTATCAAAATTTTGAGTGGAGCAATTTTTTTTCTGGTTTAGCATGAGTATGAATCTGATATCAATTGGATGTACAAAGATAGTTTACTTGTTAAAAAACCTATCAGTAAACCAACTGATTATAAAACAGTTTTTAATGGGAATAAAAACAAATTTTCAAAAGATTTCAAATAGCTACTTGTATATTCAAACACTTTATTTACTGAGAGAAGAGACTATAGATTCAAGTGCTATAAAATAATTTTACTACCAAAAGCGAGGTTAATTCAAAAACTTACACTCAAATTTGGTCATAAATTATTTTATTAGACTTGGTGAGTCTTTATCTATTAACAACTTAACACCATACTATGCACCGAAAAAAATAAATGCTTTATTTTTTTCGGTGCAGAACTGTATGCACCGAAAAAAATAAATGCTTAAGTTTTAAATGTTTTGACTAAATATTCCAAAATCGAAATCTGGCTTTTCATTGCAATGCAATGAACTTATCTTGTTTTAGAAACTTATTATTAAAAATAAGTTTCTAAAACAAGAACTCCTAGGTTTAAAAATGTACTCTTTTAACAGTTAATCCCCCTTTTAACTACATTTTTCATAACATTGCGAAAAGTGCGGTTTGCTTTCAGACCTCAATAAAGTCTGTTTTAGCTATCCTTAAACAATTAAGTAAAGTTTTTTTATTTTTATAATAGTCAAACAATGGGTATATTTGAGAATAACTATCAGAAACAAATTTTTCTGACTTTTTTTTGATAAAAAGTAACATCAAATTACTTGAATTCAGCCAACTTCATCATTTGTCGCGTTTTTTTTTAAATTTAAAGAAGTTTTTTTACTAATGCATTAAATGTCGTAAGATAAAACATTTTATTGGTGTTTTTATTCTTTTTACAAAACAATATTATCTTTAATATTTTAAAAATTATAGAAGTTTTAGTAACACCCCTTAAGTCAATGTTTTCAAAAAATAACAAGAAGCCGTTAAGCTTTGTTTGAAACAGCCGTGATATCGTAAGCAATCCATATTTAAATCGCCAATTACAAAGTTTTTTTTCTTTTCTTTGTTACCTTTATGAAAAACGTTGTGCTTTAAGTATAAGCTTATATTTTCTGACGCACCACCAGGTAGTCTATAACAACAACTTAGTAGAATGCTTTTGCTTTTTAACTTTTCGCTTTTATCGTTTAAAATTTCAATTGTAACGATTTCTTTATAGCCATCAGAAACGCACAAATCGTTCCTAACGTTATGCGCAATGTTTTGTTTTACGTAAATCAGAATTCCTCCACCGCGTTTATTTAACTGTCTTTCTAATAAAATTGTTACAAAATTAGGAAGATGGAAATTTGAGTTATTATTAAGCTCATTTTGTGAACACCAAGTTTCCGTTAAGCAAATAATATCAAAATAGTTTTTAGTTTCTTCTATAAAATGTCGAAGATTTTCTAAATTTTTGTTCATACTTCTTATCAGGGCCGGCGCTAGTATTTTTTGGTTTTTTAGATAGCTAACTTCCAAACATGGAGCAAACTCCAAACATATATATATTTATACTTATGTCAAATAAGGATGCTTTGCAAAAAATTGTGATAATTGGAGCTTGGAAACAACATAGCCCCAAAATTTTTGCCTAGACTGCCCCAAACGTGAGAGCAACAAGTTGATAAAATATTTTTTGTACTATTTTTAACTAGACTAATATTCATCGATAAATTTTAAGTTTCATAGTAAAATACTTTAGCGTTCAAAAATTATGACTATATAATGTTTAAACCCCCCTCAATCTGAGGGGGTTGCAAATTTTATATTGTTATAATTTTTGAACACTAAGAAATTATACTATAAAACTTAAAATTTATCGATGAATATTAGTCTAGTTGAAAATAGTACAAAAAATATTTTATCAACTTGTTGCTCTCACGTTTGGAGCAGACTAGGCAAAAATTTTGGGGCTATGTTGTTTCCAAGCTCCAATTATCGCAATTTCTTGCAAAGCATCCTTATTTGACATAAGTATAAATATATATATATGTTTGGAGTTTGCTCCATGTCTGGAAGTTTGCTATCTCAAAAACCAAAAAATACTAGCGCCGGCCCTGCTTCTTATATTTATGTGGACAATTCTATTTTTTTTGTTTTATATATATATATATATATATATATATATATATATATATATATATATATATATATATATATATATATATATATATATATATATATATATATATTTGTGTCATTAAGAAAATAGGAAGACCTAACAAAAACAGAATATTCTTAGTATGGAAGAATAAATAGAGTATAATTGCTCAATAGTATTTTTTCCAAAATTTTTATTTTTACAAACATGTTGTGTTAACATTTGATGGAATATATGACGATATATATATATATATATATATATATATATATATATATATATATATATATATATATATATATATATATATATATATATATATATATATATATATATATATATATATATATCGTCATATATTCCATCATATGTTAACACAACATCAAAATATATTTAAAATAGTTATATGCTGCCTTTTTGTTAAAATCAATTTACATATTTTGTATATATATATATATATATATATATATATATATATATATATATATATATATATATATATATATATATATATATATATATATATATATATATATATATATATATATATATGTATGTATATTTATATATCGTCATATATTCACATCACATATTTTATATATATATATATATATATATATATATATATATATATATATATATATATATATATATATGTATATATATATATATATATATATATATATATAATATATATATATATATATATATATATATATACATATACTTTTTTTAAATGTTACTCTGTAGAAGTTACTAGTATACCTGTTACTTCGATAAAGTTTTCATTCTATTTATAAAATATTTTATTTTTTCTTCAAACCTAATATTGGTTTAACTTTCTATGAGTAATACTAATATGAAAACAATTTTTATTGTATTTTAATTTATACACGGGTGAAATATTTGTTTTCTTATTTTAATTTATAATTTAAACATATATTTTTTCATTATTTTATTTTATGGTTTATTTTCAAGAGAAGGCAGAGACACCAATAAAAAGCTTTGAAGTTAAAGATAGAGAAGGTATGTATTAAAAACTTACCTATTCATTTGTAATTGTTAGCGTTTTATTTTATTTACAATTTATTTTCTAGAGGAGGCAGATAATATATAAAAACTTTTGCAGTTAAAGACAGTCAAGGTATATAATAATAAATTACTTTTACATTTTGTTAGTGTTACCTTTTTATTGTAATGTATTGTTTTTTCTAGAGGTGGGAGATACAAAAAAAAGTTTCGTAGTTAAAATGGTAAAAGTAGGATTTAAAAAGTTACTTTTCATTTATAAATAATACTATTTTATTTTAAAGTATTGCTTGTTTTTTAGAGAAGGCAGAGACAATACAAAACTTTTTAGTTAAAAACAGTAAAGGTATGTATTAAAATCTTACCTAATCATTTATAATTGTTAGCGTTTTATTTTAATTTGTTTTAATTTATTTTAATATTCTAGAGATAGTAAATACAAGAAAAAACTGCATAGTTGATGATACAGAAGGTATGTATTATTCAGTGGCGCATTATGTATTATTCAGTGGCGATTTTTATGTAAACCTATTTAAAGAATTAATTTAAACATTATCCCACCTGGTGAAAAAGTAGGTGTAGAATTTTAAAACAGGTAATCTTCAAATAATGTTATAGTCTTTATTTTATTAGATGAAACGCTTATGCTTAAAATTTGATGAAATTATGCTTAAATTGCATTTCATAAATAGGTCACGGAATAATAAAATGTCTCCGTATTATAAACCTTGTAAAAGTCATTATGGGTATATATCCAGATTTAGGTGGCTGCAAGGTATACGATTATTCGTTACTAGACATTTTAAACGAATGTCTCAGTGACGAAGCTGTTTATATTTATCTCAAAATATTAGTAAAGAAAAACAGTAAAGAAAAGGTATGATTAATTGATGTACTTCAAAATAAATTCTTTGTACAAAAAACAATGTTGCATTTTTTTTTTTTTTTTGTCTTCATTTAAATAAAATTTCAATTCTAAATATAAAATAATATATTGAATGCCATTCCATATATTGATGGTTTGAAGAATCGAATCGAAGTACTTTTGCCAGCTCTCACTAGATGAACTGCTAATTAAAACTGATTTAATGCGAAGACGGTATAAGGTATTCAAAAATTTTTATCTAAAAAAATTAATGGTTCATTAATTTAATTATAGAGTATTTACATATGGTATATCATGTGGAGTATTCTGCCTAAAGGTAACTTTAAGACTCTTAACTGTAATGGATATATATATATATATATATATATATATATATATATATATATATATATATATATATATATATATATATATATGAACTTAAATATTTCAGTTTGCTCAAAGTTATATAAATGGAGAAAATTGGCGCGTGTCTTTCCACATGAAGAAGTTAATGCATTGTTTTAAGAAATGAAACTTTATTTTGTTGTGAACATATTTATACATAAATGTAGTAGTAAATGAAACTTTAAAAATTACAGTAATTTCTTTTTCTTCAAATTTTTCGTAAAATAAACCAATTTAAATGTTTATGCAGTAAGAAATAAATACACAAATAATTGATATTTTTTTCTTCTTAGTTTTAGTTACTTCTTTTATTGTTATAAAACTTTAACTTGTCGAAAGCCACACATATGAATTGATTGAACAATAATACATTTTTAATTTGTTAGCTCAATTAAATTTAAAAAGAAATGAAAAAAGACTGTTTGAGCAATTTCTACATATTTTGCTAATAACACCTAAAATTCCAAATTAAAATATCAAATCTCCCTATGCAAGCTTCTCAAATATTCCCCAACATAACTAATACCATGTTTCAAAATAATTGTGTTTGCTTTCTGGAGTAACACAACCCCCCTGTGTAAGCTCTATATATATCACAAAAATGAGCAAAAAAAAAACTTAAAATATCACATCCTCCTATGTATATCTTTAAAATATTACATCCTCTAAGTAATTCATAAAATTTTTCAAATGAGTAGTAATTGCTATATTGAATATCACATCCATCACTTGTAAATTCTGTTTGTACCACAAAAAGAAACTAAAATTCTTACTTAAAATACCACATTCCCCCCTATGTATACTTTTAAAATATTAGATCCCCCTAAGTATTTCTTTACAATATTTCAAACAATTCGTATTTGGTATTTAAAATATCAGATCTCCCCTGTGGAGTCTCTGCAAGTATACATAGGGGGGATGAAATTACAAAATTCGTTAAAAATATTTTGTAAATTACTAACTAATTTACAAAATATTTTTAACAATTAGTATTTGGTACCTAGAATATCACATCCATCACTTGTAAGTTCTGTATGTACCACAAAATAAAACTTAAATTCTTACTTAAAATTTTACATCCCCTCCATTTTTACTTTTAAAATAATACATCCCCCTAAGTAATTCCTACAATATTTTAAACGAATAATATTTGGTATTTAAAATATCACTTCCCTTCTATGTTTACCCTTAAAATTTTATATTCCCTAGGCAATTCATACAATAGTTCAAACGATTAGTATTTGGTATCTAGAATATCACATGCCCTCGGTTTATTTACTGTATACGTCACAAAAAGAAAATAAAATTCTTACTTAAAATATCACATCCCCCCTACTTCTAAAATATTCCATCCCCCTAAATGATTTATACAATATTTAAAACGACTAGTATTTGGTACAAAAATATCACATCCATCACTTGTAAGTTCTGTATGTACCACAAAAAGAAACTGAAATTTTTACTTAAAATATCACATCCCCCCTATGATACTTCTAAAATATTACATCCCTCTAAGTAATTTATAAAGTATTTCAAACAATTAGTATTTGGTATATAGAGTATAACATCCACTACTTGTTATTTCTGTATATATCACAAAAAGAAATTGGAATTCTTACTTAAAATACCACATCCCCCCTATGCAGGCTTCTAAAATATTGCAAACGATTAGTATTTTTATTACCTAAAGTATTATATCTCTCATGTGTAATCTATTTTTTACTATTGTCACGCAATACATGACTATCAAAATTTTATAAATATGAATTTAAAATATATTACCATTTTATGCTAACTTCATTTATAGTATATTAGTAGAAAAAGGTTTTTATGATTCTCATTTTCTAGAGGAGAAAGATAACCAGGGCAACGAGATTTGTAATAAAATATCACAGGGAGATGTGATATTTTATTACAAATCTCGTTGCGTTTTTATTATATTGTTTATAATTGAATGTTTTGGACGTACTTGATACACTTCCAAGTGCAATGACTCGAAAGCACATTCTCGTTTTCATTTTTTTTTGTGAGGGATGTGATATTTTAGGCGAATGTGATATTTTATTATAGGCCTCTTAATTTTTTACGGAAAATGCAACAAATCAGGCCATGTTATTTAAGTAGGCCATTAGTACATCACAGGGCCACGACTACATAATACATAAGCATTATGGTATTTGGTACATAATGGTATTTCAGCACATGGAAGTTGTATTTTTTCAGCGATATTTACATATCTATATTATTTAATACCAGATAGTGAAAACTAGTGTGGTCCATTAAGCATTTGAATTTTTTCCAGAATACGCACAACAAGAATTTCGACTCAAGTTACTTTGTTTAGCCATGAGTCTGAGTTTTTCTAAACTTTATTATAATCTGTATATTTAATAGGATCAGTTATGTATATTTTCTCAATGATAATATTTATTTCAGTTAAATTTCTATGTATATGTTGCTGAATATCATTGTAAATAAGTTGAAAAGATAGAAAATTCTTTTCTTTGCTTGAACACATTTCTTCTTATTATTTATATAACAATTTTAGCAAAATAATGTTTTTAGTAGATTTTGTAGCAGTATAATTTTTTTTTTGTATTAAGCAAATAATATTACTTCTCACAGTAAAGTTTTTGTAATCAGAAGAAGTTTGTATTATAAGTTTAGTTTTCTTTAACATTATAACGACGCTCTTTTATAAAAAAAAAGCATAAAAAAAAAGGCATTTTATAAAGTAGAAATAGTGATGTAGATTTTAAACGTGAAGATAAAACATTGTAACAATGTGTTTCAAAAGTTTGTCTCCTTTTTTTTTTGACTTTATATTATTTTTTATTTTTATAACATCTCTCAGGAATTTTTAATTTTCTAGACTGTTTTGTGTTCATTTTTTTAAAAGCAAGGACATATTTTTTTAAAACAATAAAAGGACATATCAACATTTTTTGAAACCAACAATTCAAAAATAACATTATTGAAACCAGCAATTCAAAATAAAATATCGGTGGAATCTTATTTTTAAATAAAACTTCAGCAGCTTCATTTTTCTCCATAAGATTTTTATAACTAAAAAGCAACGTGAACATCAGATGAACTAAAATCCGTTTTAAAAGTCACAGTTTTTTCTGGCTGTCCTAAACTGCTTTCTCTTATAATTAAAGTATAATTTTTAAAAATAGATTAAGTGATAGAATGAAACATTGAGTCTTCTCTGATTAAAGAGATAGTTGAAGGCGGGATGCTTGTAGAATCCAAAAAAACTTCGACTACAAAACGTCATTATGTTTTTTATTTTGAATTTTATCCACGGAAAGGACACTGTTTAAATTTATATACTCTGATCCGCAACTCGTGTAAGGTGCAACTTGTAAATGAGCAATAGTCTAAAAATTATTTTATAAAATTGTTTTTTATCTAAAATTATCAATTTTATCTTCTTAATTGAAAAAAACTTTCTTTTAACAAATGAGATTGGTTTTGTTTATGTGAATTTATCCCCTATAAAGATGGCGTCGAAATCTTATATACCGAAACCACCCCTTATGGAAGTCCCGAATGGCGGATTTAGGCAAAAGATAACATAGACTGCAGCCTATGGGACACAAGAGACAATCTTGGGGCGCCACAAGAAAAAAGAAAGAAAAAAAAAATGAAAAAGAAAATTAGAAAAAGTCATCTAAAATTTTCTTTTTTTACGATAACATCCGAATTAATTTTTCTAATAATTATGCTAATGTTTATTATTCGAAATTCGAATACTATTTTTCATTATTTTGTGAACATTTAGCAAAACTGTATTTTTATTTAACCTTATTATCATTAAATTTACGTATTAATTTTATGTTTTCATTTTATAAGAAATCTATAGTTATAAGAAATGTCGCTTAGCTATTTTATTATTGTGTATTATGAATATTTTTCTTGACTTTTATGAATAAATGTACAGGAAGTGGCGCTGCGGCGTCATCGAAACTTTATCCAATGGTTCAACATTTTTAAATCATCCTATGTATGAACTGAAAAAAAGAATTTATTAGTTAAATGTTGCGCATAGACCTGAAACAAGCCATATACTTAGTACAAAATTTATTTCCTACTTTTAAAGTAGTATAACAACTTGTGTGTGTGTATGTGTGTGTGTGTGTGTGTGTGTGTGTGTGTATGTGTGTGTGAGTAAACCAATTTGAGTTTAATTTTCAAATTACTTTAGTTTATTTTCCAGAGTATGATACTCTACCCCATAGAAAAATTAACAAACAAAAAGGAGGTGCTGAGAAAGAACGAATAAGAAAGAAAACATGTTTAGAGAACGATGAGTAGAAATATAAAAAGTTAACAAACATGTTTTCAACATTTTTTAGCACTAACTCTATTGTTAATATGGCTGATGTAGCAACAACAGAAGTAATTACTGATCTCCATCCAATTTATGCCGCTGATGCGGTATTATTATCACTTAATGAGGCAGAGGTACATGGTTCTTTGAAACAGCAGATAGTTTTGATGACAATGCTGTCAATGCAAACTCTTACCCTAACTCTGACATTCAATATAAATTGAACAGTAATCAATGAAAGCTAATGAAAGAAACTCAAAACGACTATAATTATTTTTTGAAACCACAAGCAGACTTTTTGAAATCATTTTTTAAATTTCATCTAAAGCAAAACAATTTTGATCTAAACGTTAAAATTAATTACCAGAGCGTTTGTTTCGGAAACTATAAGCCTAGTCACTGTCTGACCTTTAAAGAAAACACACAAAAGTTGTTTTGTTCTTTTTGTCTGGCATTTAGCAAAGCCTCAGATCAATCAACGTTCATTAGTCGATATAAATTACAAATTTCAAGCATATTTATCAAAGATTTTCAGAACATGATAGCAGTGCACTTCATGCAACCTGCACAGAACCATATGTTTTAAAAATTAACGCCAAAGATGTTATAAGTATTTATTCGTGCCAACATGGTGAAGAGATAAAAAAAAATTGTTTAATTTTAGAAAGAATCATAGAAACTTTAAGAGTTATTGTTAAGTTACTGAGGTGCAGAAGAGTCTGCGTATACATTGCTGGATGACAGGGTAGATCATAGGAATTTTTTTAGAGATTTTTTAGAGATTTGGTAAGTTTGATACGTTGTTGGAAGCACATATCAAAGAGGTGG